TTTCTGTCAGAAAGGCTTACCCTTTACATTTAGATATGGTCACGTCTAATGAAACGTTATCAGTTTAACTAGCACTTCGCACAGTTGCGCCCAAAATCATCAGCAGTTAGAAAAAAGATGAGTTGAAATGCTCATGTAGCATCTTGATATAAATTGTCACGAGTAACCGTTCAGCAACAACAACAATAACATGAGACATATTCATCCACGTCAAGATTTGTTGACATGGGCAATTATGCTTGAAACACATCATGCAAGATTACTGGATGTGATCCGACTAAGGTGTTATTGTTAGTTGAGTGAAGCAACTGATGGACTACAGCTGAGAAGCAATAATCTGAATGAATATTCAAAAGAAACTTTGCTTTTTGGATCGCACGCTTGACCTTCGTTTATGGCGCAAACTTAGCGTTTGTCGTCCCATTCCGTGAATATCTGCAGTTCTGGAATTATGATACACTTTTCTTGAGTGCAAAAAATCCCTTCCGAATATAAGTCTGCTTTGAATAGAAGTTACTGATAAGGTTGTGGAGAGTGGAATTTCTGCAGTTTATTGATAGCATCACTCAAATGAATTATTCGGTTGTGTTCGGTTGACCAGTTCACCTCGAAGATGTCGAAGCGGGATGGTGTCAATCAAGGCTGAAACAGTACGAACGGAAACACTGCGAGCATTGTGGCAAGCAACGCTATGAACGTTTGATGACAGCCTGGCCAATTCAAGTGATCCAGGTAATTACCTGGTTTGGCCAGGTTATCAAACGTTTGTAACGTTGCTGGCCACAATGCTCGCGTTTCTGTGCACATTGTTTTAGCCTCAATTTACGCCACCCTGTTGGCTAGGCGAACAGGCCAATCCAGGTAATTACTTATATCTTATATCCAGCTCATATTCAGTACCGTATATGCTGGGAATCAGTGAACGGAAGTGAGTGATGACTCGAATGAAATCAATCGATCTGCTCGGGACCGAAAAATCCGAAATCATAACAATCAGATACAAGCAACCAACCCTAAATCAAGTAATAACAATAACTTTGTTGCGTTTCAAACCACTATATAAAAATATTCATCATCTGATTGATGATTTCCATAAATTGATAATCCATTGGCTTTTCGCATGAAATATTCATTGATTGAAACGACGAGTTGAATGGATAAATGGATTTTATAAATTATTCATTGTCAGAGATTTTCTCGATGATATTCAAAAATCTCAACAAACATTGGAAAAGTTATGTGCAAAGGTCATTCAAAACTGAAATTTGAATAAAATTGCATGAGCAATACTCAAAATGTTGTGGAGATTTGCATGATGCAATAGAATAATTATAATATTGGCATCGGGTCACCTATATAAATATGTTCATCAAATGGAAAATATTTATTCCACAGTTTCGTCACCGTTTAAGGTCGTTGTTTCTCGTCAGGTTTCTGGTTTGATTTCGACTTGATCAACAACTCTCTCGATGGCAGCACCGCAGTTGGTACAACTTCAAGTCGGAGAGCAAGTGGATCGTTGGCATATCGATAAGAAGCTTGGAGAGGGTGGATTTGGTGCTGTTTACCTGGTGTGTTCTCAATCAACATAACTCATTCAAAAAGTTTTAATGTTGAGTTCGATTGTGGAGTTAATCAGACAAATGGCATACATGTGAAAAGCTCATTCGCTACGAGAATATTGCAGGTATCCGATCCAACGGGAACGTATGCGTTGAAAGTGGAGGGTGTAAATGAGCAAATTCAAGTGCTGAAAATGGAGGTGTACGTTTTGACTGAGTTGAATAAACGTAACAGTCGTCACTTTTGTAAGATTATGGACAAGGGTAGATATGGCTCGTTCAATTACGTCGTTATGACGGTCGTCGGCAAAAGTCTTCAGGTTAGATCATTTCATTGATCATTTGCGCAAACGCACTGATTACTATTGCTGCGGTTTATTTGAATGGTCGATAGATGGGATGATATTGTGATCGGATTGATTTGTTAATGAATTGAAGGATTTACGTAAAGCTGGTCCAGGACAACACTTATCAATGGGTTCGGCACTTGGTGCTGGTATTCAAGCACTAGAGGCACTCGAGGATCTACACGGGATCGGTTACCTACATCGAGACGTTAAACCTGGCAATTACACTGTCGGTCGACCTGAGTTGAATGAACTGAGAAAAATTTATATTCTCGACTTTGGAATGTGCCGTAAATTCACTAATTCTCAGGTTCATTTAAATGTTTCATGATTGGCTGCTCTATGTCGCAAGAATTGAACGACAAAACGATGCGAAATGCATCTGTGGATGTTATTGTATATTGCAGAATGTAATTCGCAAACCGCGTGCAGCGGCAGGTTTCCGAGGCACGGTGCGTTACGCGCCCATCTCGTGTCACCTTCAACGTGAACTGTGTCGCAAGGATGATGTTGAAACTTGGATATATATGCAGGTCGAACTCACCACCGGTAATTTACCTTGGAAGAATGTCGCCGACATGAATCAGGCAAGCAACTCTGCTCATTTCATCGCATTTGATAAGATAATAACAGATAATTGGATAATTGATATAAGCCGGATTATAGCCTGGCTCAGGCTCACAACATTAAGGATATTGGTACACCATTCGGTTTCGAGCGAAACTTTCTGCCCGTTCGCGAAGGAAAGTTTTGCTCGAAACCGAGTGGTTTATCAATATCATTAATGATACGATAATGATAAGCCCACTGATAAGAGATGATAAACGGTCAGTGAGTGTGTTAGGTAGGTGAATACAAGAAACGTTGTCGCTTCGAGCCGGCAATCAACGAACTGATGGGCGGATGTGCACCCGAACTGCGACAAATCATGCAAATGGTCGATGCGTTAAAATACTACGATACACCACCTTATCAGCAAATCTACGATCTGATGCGTCGTTCGTTCCAGTCAACTGGCACCCAGGAATTCCCGTATGACTGGGAGAAACCTGGTGGTGGTATATTCTAGACGTGACAGGACAATGTTTATGATTATATATCTTCAAATGAACTGAGTTAATAAATAATTCATAGTGAATGTGTAAATGCTTTTGAATGTTCGTTATGAATGCTATAAGTTACAATCGAAGGTCCACACTAAAACATATTCAGTGCTCAAGTCTGCCTAGACAAACGGTTTGTCAAAAGAATGCCGTATACGAGAAGGGTATGATTAAGGAAATCGTAAGTGTGCAAATCCATGAAAAATCGCTTATGCGTGCGATCACATATAAACTGCAGATCAACCACAAACATCTTGAATCGCACACTTGGCTCAATCCATCTCAAATGATAACGTTTCAATTTGACCTTCGTTTGATATTTGATTATAGTTATTGAACTGAAAATGACTGCAGCTTCTAGCATCGATTCCCTTCAGTCATTAGTCACTGCAAAATGATGGTTAGGATTAGTTCAAGCTGATGTTTGACAGTGTTGTTCGTAATGCCATTTTGCTGGTTTTTCAAGTTAATCTTTAACACTGAGAGAGTTTTGCTCGTAATCGAACATTGCATTAATGTAATCACTGATATCAGGGTATGATCCAGCTGCGCTCTATTCGTATTTCTCTGTTTATCAATTCACGTTATCAGCGTGAAGTGATGCATGCCATGGGCTGTGTAATGATAGTAATACAAGAACAGTTCGA